TTCCCACTCTTTCTCCCTCTCTCCCTCCCAACAATGACATGCTGAAATGAGACCGGCACTATATACCACCATGTGAAAAACTCCATTGATTTTTGAGATTTCAAGTTGCCCGTTCTCAGCCTCTAATTGCTCCCCGGACAGCAAACGGTTCTAGGAGGTTGTGAGCTACATTGGTAAGAAGAAAATACCACAGTTTGGAGCAATTCTAACGTGGTCCAAAAAACGGCCTTATTGACACCCCTCCGGAAACAATATATTCTAAAATAAGTTACTAATAAAAAATTACAAACACCTTAATAATAATAATGTTAAAAATGTTTTGCAGAAGAAGAAGAAAAACAAAGAAAACGTCATTGACATCCAACATCGCCCAATTCATCAAGTTCTTCATAAAGTAGCAATGATTCAAATTCCAGTAAATCATTATCGGATAGTGATTAAGTTTAGTGTTACCATATTACCAATGTTAAAATGAGTTAACCTTGTTAACGTTACCATAACATATATCTAAGTTGTCTATGTTATATATGCTATTTATTTTATTACATTATTATATTTGATATACTCACTTATATACTTATACTTATGCACTTTTACACTCACCTATATACTTAAAAAATTGACTCATAAAAATAAAATTATAGACAATATATAATTAATATACAGTATTGATTTTTTATTTAGAACCACTTATTTTGCTTAAATCATGTTTTACATGCATAAGTTACGACGAAGAAGCAATTAAACAAACTTTGTAGTTCCTATATAACTTTATCCAAATTTAAAAAAAATGTGTTTCCCAGCATTACGTAATTTTTTAAATTACGTGATTTTTAAAATCACGTACCGATTTGGAACAATCCGTTACGTGATTAATTATGTCATTAATTATGTAATTTCGTTACGTGATTTTGTGATGTAATTTCATGACGTGATTTCGTGACGTGATTTTTTTCAGTAGAGCGACACTAAGGTAACTAGTGACGTTATAAAATCAAAGCTCATGGATTCGGCGTATCAGCAACAAGCTGAGAGTGCGTTTCTCGGAAAAGGTGGCGCTAAAAATCAGAAGTACAAAAGCAAATCAAAGTGCTACACTTGTGGTAAAAAGGAACATATTTCAACTGAGTGTAGAAATAAACCAAAAGACGAGGATGAAAAATCTATCAAGTCAGTGCCAGGCAAGGAAAATAAAAGTGCGTTATGTGTAATGTTTACATCCAATACATCAACAAATACCGACACCGACGGTATGGTATGTTGACAGCGGTGCCTCACAACACATGACACCATCGGATAGTTGGTTATGTCAAAAGAAGCAGACGTCAGTAGCAAGTGTCGTGACAGCAAATGACTAAAAAATGACAGTCTCCGGTGTTGGGAATGTGACAACCAAATTACACGGTATATACCGAAGTGGATGTGAAAAATGTTTTACATGTACCTGAACTATCTACAAATTTGTTGTCAGTTTCACAGACCGTAAAGTTGGGCAATACGGTAGTGTTCGATCAAAGTGGATGTTCGATCTACAACAAAGACAAAGACTGCATTCTAAACGTTAAGCCTGTTAGTGGTATATAAAATTCAAGCTGAAAACATTAAGTGTTTTTTGTTACAGGCATCAAGCGATGACATGATGAAGTGGCATCGACGTCTAGGACATATGAATTATACAGATTTGTGTAGGATGCGAGATGGCATCGTTGATGGGATCAACTTTAAGAGATCCGCTGACAAAATCAGGGACTGCATAGTATGCTTGGAGGGAAAGCAAACCAGGCTTCGATTTCCTCAAAGTGTAAATCGGTCGGCCAGCATTTTGGATCGAATACATTCGGATCTATGTGGACCCATGGAATGTGCATCAATTGGCGGAGCAAGGTATTTCATAACATTTGTTGACGACCATTCTCGAAAGGTATTCGTGTATTGTTTGAAAGCGAAATCTGAAGCACTAATAAAATTCAAAGAATTTAAGCAGTTCATAGAAACTCAAACTGAAAGAAAGATCAAGTCAATTAGAACTGACAATGGCAAAGAGTATGGCAGCAAAGAATTTGAGGCATTCCTTCGAACACATGGCATTGAACATCAGACGACTGTACCCTATACTCCCGAGCAAAACGGAGTGGCGGAGAGAATGGACCGTACGCTTGTAGAAAAGGCCAAGTGCATGATTTTTTATGGCAAACTCGAAAAATTCTATTGGGCTGAGGCCATAAATACTGCTGCGTATGTTGTTAATCGTTGGGTAAGTTCTGTTTTGCAAGGGCAAACTCCTGAAGAGGTGTGGACAAACCAGAAGGTAGATGTCAGTCATTTGAAGATTTTTGGTTCATCAGTGATGGTGCATATACCGAAGCCAAAACGATGCAAGTGGGATCGTAAATCTCAAAAATTGAGATTTATTGGATATAGTGAAACCACAATAGGATATCGTTGTATAAATCCTATCTCAAAGAAGATTACAATCAGTCGAGATGTAGTTTTCTTAGAAAATAATGACGAGTCGAGCACCAAGTTCAACATTGAAGAAGATATCAATTCAGTGAGGGATCTTTTTCCAGTTAAAATCGACAATGAAGATGACGTCACGGAAAATGCAGATACCATTGTACCCGAGGAAGGAATTGAAGATAATGAAGAAGAGGATTCGTTCCAGTTAATCGACAATGAAGAGGACGATGAGTTAATCGACAATGAAGAGGACAATGAGTCAGTCGACAATGAAGAGGACAATATAAACGAACCAACTGTGAGTTGCAGCATAGATGTCCCACCATTGAATGAGCCGCGACGATCATCACGAAAGCCTAAACCTAAAAACTTCGATGATTTTATATGTCATTCAGCCAGGATCGAAGAAGATACTGATCCGGTTACTGTTAAAGAAGCTATGGAAAGAACGGATTGCGAAAAATGGAAAGCAGCAATGAGTGAAGAGATGGAATCATTAGCAGAAAATGCAACTTGGAAATTGGTTCAACCTCCATCTGATAAAAAATCCATTAAATCAAAATGGATCTTTAAAACCAAGTGAGATGCAGAAGGAAACGTTATACGGTACAAAGCGCGCTTAGTCGCGAAAGGATGTTCTCAACAATACGGTATTGACTACTCTGAAACGTACTCTCCAGTAGTCAGACATACCTCTATACGTTTTCTAATTGCACTTGCTGCTAAATATGGACTTAAAATAGACCAGATGGATACTGTAACAGCCTTTCTACAGGGTGAGCTGTCAGAAGAAATATATATGATTCAACCCGAAGGTTTTGATGACGGCAGTGGAAGAGTATGCAAATTAAGTAAAGCAATCTACGGATTGAAGTAAAGTGCCAGAGAGTGGAACAAAAAACTGAAGAAGACTTTAAAATTGTTTGGACTCGAACAATCTCTCGCTGACCCATGCGTTTATTTTTCAAAGGACCTTTCACTAATTGTAGCCATCTATGTAAATGACATTCTTATTCTATGGAAAAATGAAGAAGTAAAGAGTAAATTGAAGAAATCCTTAAGTCTTCAAAATGAAGGACATGGAAGTAGTTACAGACTGTGTTGGTTTGCACATAACATACGAAGATGACGCAATTTGTCTGGACCAAACAAAGTACATTAACGATGTTTTAAAACGATTTAAAATGGTCGATTGCAAACCAGTAAAAACTCCAAGCGACATAAATCAAAAACTGTTTATTAGCATGTGCCATAAAGATGACCAAGAGACACAACAGCTAGCAAATATACCCTATCAAGAAGCAATGGGCAGGGCAGTCTTTTATATCTAGTGCAAGAAACTAGACCGGATTTGACTTTTGCGGTAAATGACGTAAGCATAACCTGTTCTTTTAAGCAGGTTCAACCAGAATTTCGGCAAGGCTCATTGGACAACCGTGAAGGGAATCCTATGCTACGTTAAGGGAACAGCTGATTACAAACTACGATATACGAAATCGGCCGAACGTCAACTGACTGGTTATTCGGATTCAGATTGGACGTCAGACGTTGACAAGCGCCGATCATGCACAGGATATGTATTCAAACTCTCTAATGGCAGCCTACAGCAGCCTTATCAAGCACCGAGGCAGATCATATGGCCCTTTCCTCCGCAGTCCAAGAGGCAATTTGGCTCAAAAACTTCGGAAAGGATCTAGATCCAGATATAAAGCAAACGGTCAAAATCGGTTGCGATAATCAAAGCGCACTGAATCTAGCCAAATCGGATGGATTTAGGGCTAGATCCAAACACATCGACGTACGACATCATCATATTCGTGAGAAGATTGCAGAAGACGGAACTGTAGAGATTATATATGTACCTACAGAGGAGATGGCAACTGACAGCTTAACCAAAGCTGTAACTGGGCAAAAAGGCAAATTTTGTGCTGAAGCAATGGGTCTAAAGAAAATTAAAAATTAAACTCAGATTATATTTTTTTGTATAATAGTTGGACATATTTGCTATTAAGAAAAAGGGGAAATAATTTGTTTATTTTTTTTATTACTTGATAAGTTCAAAACTTTATTTCTGTTGCCAACTATAGTTTCTATGCTGTTTTTAATATTTTAATGAGTGAGGGTGTTGAAATTAATATATCTAACTTGTATCTACACTGGATATACTCTATGCATTTTTGTACATGCACCCTATCTGCCCCACCTATAGGAGCATCTATGTATGTTCTTGAATAAAGTTTTACTTCCCGTTAGACAATCGAACTGCGTGGTCGTTTCTCTTTCGCTCTGCTCAACACAGGAAAATAATAATGATAGTGGAAGTATATTGAAAACTTTTATTAGATTTTTGAACAATCTAAATACACAACTATAACGTACATAAATAGATCATAAAAGTTTATTTTCCTAAAACATTTTACATATATCTTACCGTTTCCATGATAATTGCTTAGAATACTATCAAATATAAGCTTATTCTTGAGAGGTTGTTTCATACGTCTTAAACCTTAAAATGATCATATATAAAAAGATATGTACTCTTAAATTTTTGTGTTTAACAATATATTTTAAGAAGAATTAAATCGATTCCGGACAATTATAATATAGTCTTTCTAAGACATAAAAGAAGCATAATTGTCTGAAATTAATTGGATTCTTCACTTCTCGAAATATATTGTTAAACACAAAAATTTAAGTGCATATATTTTTTTATGCTATGCTTATTTTAAATTTTACAGATGTATTGTAGAATAACATTATCAGAAAGACATCATATTTCCTGATATATAATATGTTTGAAATATCTTGTTTTAATGTTACCGCGTCCCGATAAAGTATATATATTTATTGTATTATATTATCTTCTATCTTATTATTTTCTATCCATTCTTCGTTAATAGCTGATATGATTTTGTCATTGTCCATCATTGTGATATGATTACCTTCCACATAATGAATTTGCACTTTACCTTCGGTAACCTAAAAATAAGTTTCTTGTTATAAAGCTTCTTGTTATTTCTAAAATTATATAGTCTTATATTTCAAAAATATCCCTATCCAAATTAAATTTACCTTATGTAGACCATAATCCTCTTCAGTAAAAAAAGCAATCGGAAATGTGGGTTTTAGCAATGTTATATGTGATTTAAGGCGAGTTAATGAAGAAATATCATAATCCTGTATAGCAACTATATGATTGTAAACTGTGGAATATATCAGTTTTTGATTTTTGATGGTCAATGCATTTAAATTCGTCGGAAAGTAGGCATGAAATGCTTTTAATTTTTCGTCCATCGTGTTACATTTATTCAGCTCCAACGCAAGCTGTAAATAAGAAAATTTTGTATAATTAATTATAATAAATATACCAAAATAACACACATCTGCGTTTTATCAATATAAATATAAGAGATTTATTGAATTTTTAAACCATGGTAAAATTTGTTGTCATTTTTATTAATTTATTAAAATTCCTAAATCTTTTTCCATAATTATTAATACTCATTTATTGCTTTCTATCTAAAATTATTATTATTCTTTGATTTTGACACACACATACAAAACAAAATGTAAAACGACATATTTTACTATTGGAAGATTCAAATACAAATCTTTGAAGATATTAATAGGTGCTTTCCATTTACATCAAAACTCAGCTAATTCTCACTTGTGACGTCGTTCTATCCTTTTTGGGAATTAATGAATAATAAAGACAGAATGACATCACAAGTGAGAATTATCTGAGTTTTGATGTAAATGGAAAGCAACTAATGTTACAATGAATTATTTTATGTGTGTTCTTATTTTATTTAAATTTATGTAAGATTAAAATTACATAAATAATTTTTATGATACAAAAATATGTTCTTTTATAATTTACTAACCTTTTTCTTGTCAATTGTAGTGTACATTTCCAATAAACCAAGTATTATCATGTTTTGTAACTCTTCTGGCGAAGTATAGCCCAAATATTGATTAGTCCAAAGTTTCATTAGATCAGGAGCTCCATCTATTAGTATTAACCGTCCTGAGAAATTATTAGCTTCTAATAATCTTGCTAATTCGATGGCAATTAAGGATCCAAATGAATAACCCACTATTAGAAATTCCCTTTGATCTTTCATTTTCTTTAATAAGTGCTAAGAAAATAAATATAAATGTGTATGTGTAAGCTGTGGTATAATACGAAAAATTTGTACCTCAAATTGTTAAATATTACTTATATATATATACATATATCTATAAACTATTTAAAAATAATCAAAATAAATATTTTAATTGATCTCATTACAGGCAGCAAATAAGCGGCTGATTTCATCACTGAATGACTTTCATCAGGAATATTAAGTACACCATGTTGCACACACGTTGTCGAAGATTTAATTCCTGATGCTATAGATTTATATACACTTGAACATCCTTCGATTCCCGGTAAGAGAAATATATTGCCTCGATCGACCTCCTTGGTAACAAGTTCTACAAGAATATCTGGAACAAAGTCTGCATCCTTCATTTTTTGAATCAGCATGTCGAAGCCTTCCAAATTACTTGGATCAATTTCATTTGTATCGTGTATCTTTCCTCCTTCGGTTGTAATTGTCATTTGTCGAAGTTTTACAAAATTTAGAGTTCTAATGTCTTGCGCTGTCAAGGAAATATCAAACTCTCTTTCCAACGTTTGCTTAATTTCAATTGCCATCATCGAATCCATACCCATTTCCGCCAATGGTATATTTGGTGGCACTGCGTTTATGTTCTTTAATCCTATTTTGAAATAAAGTAAGAATTGTATAATAAAATCAATTTTATGTCTTTGTAGTTAATCTTTTAAAATTGAATATACAACAAAAATTTTAATTAAAAAAATCAAATTATTACATTTCTTGGTAAATATGCATAAAAGGTCAGCACTCACCGATTTTATTGCTACATAAATATGTTGTAGGGGAAGAAAGTCTTTCTGAGTAATTTTATGCAAAAAATAAGTAAGGGACGGCATTGGTTTAGAAGAAATAGCAAAATGAAGTTTCACAATTTTATTACTTTTTTTAGGTATTATAAAGTAACATTAGTTCTAAGAGAAGTAATATGTTGATATGTGTGTATAGACAGTAGACGTGTAGGCGGGGAGGGGCTACCGCCTCTCTCCCGCAAGCAGGGGTGGATAGGGGTAGACCTTGGTTCGCGTGGAAAGTGTTTCACCCATACAACAATTCGGTTGGGTTAGACCTTTGATTTACATTGAAGTTCACCCCACCCCACCCTGCTTATAGGGCAAACTAGCATTGTACGATTTAGGTTTTCAACTTTCCACGCGAACCGAGGTTCACCCTCACCCATCCCTGCATGCAGGGTAGTCTCTCCCCCGCCTAATATGTACTGTCTATACACACATATCAGTAAATTACTTCCCTTAGCACTGACATTATGACCGCCGATTATGTTATAAGGAAAAGTTATTCAAAATCACGTCTTTGATAATATATTTATGTCGGTGGGATTGTCCCCTTTCTGTATAATTATACCTTTTTTATGTGTGTATTTTTTAACGAATAATTGTAGAGATAACTATTAAAAAGTGTAATAACTATTAATAAGTGTAACAATTATTATAGTTTTTAAACTTGTTAAGGTAATTTTTACTCTGTTCATCGTTCTGATACTGTTAAAACTGCTTGAGATGTAGACAATCAATGGATGTCACATTTATAACGATTTTGGTTGAACATTTGAATGCGCCACTGCGCACTAGTGCGACCAACTGAATTCGTTATTAATTACAATTACATGCACAAAGGGAACTATTTGACAAACAATAGTAGAATAAATCGATATAATTATTATTTAAGTAATCCGTAACAAAAATTCTAGACAAAATTATTTATTAGTTGAATACTTTTGTGTTAAAAGACAAGGGCTATTATTTTTTTTTGCTTTTACTCTTTGCTTTACTTCTCTTTTTTTCTTTCAGAGATCTCATTTTATCGCTGACTAAATTTTCAGAAAAAACAACTTTTTTTGAATATTAATTATAATCTAAAAATTTTGATTAGGACCCAAATTATACAATAATTAAAATGAGAGAAACACGTAGAGACCTCCTAAGACTTAAAGTGTTAAGTCTGCAGTAATTGTAAGATAATTTTCCAAATATTATAAGTATAAGTATTCGTGTAATTTTGTGCAAAAACTATATTTTTTGAAATATTACTTATTCCAATAAATATATTTAGAATAACATTTTTATTTTACTTCTATTTCTCGGCCATTATATGTATTTAGTATTTTAGTATTTTTCTTTGTTTAGCTTTGCATAAAACTGCTTACCCATTATATGAGCAACTGTTTCATAAATATTCATTGATCCGCCAATTTTTGCTTTTTCAGCAACAACCATACTGCTTACAACAGGTCGATCTTGTAACAGAAATACTTCTAATGTCTCTAAACAGGAAGATATTCGTTGTTGCAATGTACCTCCAATAACCAATTCTTTATTTTCTTCTTGCATATCTGCCACGAGTCCGACATCACCAACAGCACCCCATTGTATCGCTAAACCGTGTAATCCTATTTCCATCCTTTTCTCACAAATTCTCTCCATTACGGAATTAGCCATTCCATAATTTGTCTGGCCTGCGTTTCCTCTTCCACACGATACGGAAGAAAAAACGACAAAATGTCGAAGTTGTGGACATATCGTTCTCGACAATTCATCCATGTTCTTCGTCATCCATGCTTTCGATTTGAATCGAACGAATCCTCGAACGTTTGTGGTGATTGATTTTGAAATGTACAATCTTTTAAAACAACTGCAAGATTAAATATAGCGTCCACTGGTGTTTTTTCTTCGGCAAATTTTAATATAGATTCACAGTCTTCATGTTTCAAATTATCATCGACTGTAACAATCTGTACATCCACACCGTAAGATCGCCATAGCTTTACTCTTGATTGCTGATAACCTGTTCTAATCCCGGTTCGTGATGTTAATACCAGATTTTTTGCACCTCGAAGAGTCAACCAATCTGCTAGCTCTAAACCAAATCCGCCAAGTCCACCCAAAATAACGTAGCATTTATGCTCCAAACAATAATATCGTGGATGAGCGAGTAGTGGACCATCCAAAGGCTCTTCCTCTTTGTGAACTCTGATAATTATCTGCGAATAAGCAATTAAGAAACAATCGTTTTTTTTATAAAATAATAAATTATAAATAACAAAGATTTCATCTTTTATTTTATTATTGATGTTGTTTTGCATTATATCATTAATTTTATTATTAAATTTAATTAATTAATAATTAACGTTATTTATTAATATAAATACAAAAAGCTTCTTGGTCAAATATAATTTAAATAAACCTACATTTGTAACTATCTTTATAACATTAATTAGAAACAAAGAATTGTTTCTAATTTGATATGATAAAATATTCTGTATTATAATTACATATGTATGTGCGTATATTAAGAAATAATTGTACCTTGCCAATATGTTTTCCAGCGGCCATATATCTAATGGCAGCTTCTATTCCATTTCTTTCGAAGACTCTTCTGCATAGTGGTTTAATAGCACCGTTTTTTATACCTTCTGTTATTGTTTTCCACAACCATGGCTTTTCTTTTGAATGGAATATAGTGTCTAATAGAATGCCATAAAAGCTGATATCTTTAGAAAAGATAGATATATCCAAGGAATTATTGGACACCATATCAAATTTTCCAATTTCTAGAAAACGGCCACCATTTGCTAAACAGCGAACAGATGCTTGTAATTTTTCTTCGGCTAAGGAATTCAATACGATATCCACCCCACGACCTCTTGTACGCTGCATAATCATTTGTTCAAAGCTTGTATCTCGAGAGTTTCCGATATGATCTTCGGGAATGGAGGGAAACGTTTCTTTTATAAACTGTCGTTTCTTGACAGTTCCAACTGTCGTAAACACTTCGCAACCTTCGTGAAGCGCAAGATGGATCGCAGCTTGACCAATGCCTCCAGTACCAGAATGAATTAAGATTTTGTTTCCCTTTTTCATTTTACCCTTCATGCATAAAGCATAGTAACACGTGCTGTACACACACGGAATCGTTGCTGCGTCTTCCATTGTCCACTTGTCAGGTATAATCCAACTGAGATATTTATCGGCCACAAGAATGTTCGTCATTCCTCTATGCATAAAAATTTAGAAAATGTATTTATTTATCTAAATGTATTTATTTATCTAAACGTTACTTCAAAATGACGTATATTTTGCATATCTTTAATTTAATATTAATTTTAAATTAATGTTATTTAAATTAAAACATTATTAATACTAATTAACGGTACTCATATAAAATAAAAATTAATTCTGTTAATTGCAAAAAGTTCTTTCTATCGTATACCTATATGTATTAATACTCTATATATCTTACTGTGAACATAATCCCATTATCCTCTGCTTATGCGTATTGAAACCAACAAATTCAAAGCCAATAAAACAGTCGTTACCGCGTTCGAATGTTGCCATATATTCAGCGTTGAGTTTGCCAGTAGCTATCATAATATCTTTAAAATTAACAGACGTATAAATTACATCAATGAGGTTTTCATGGTTAATGCGAGACATTCTGCTTTGTGCCCAGCAGAGAGTACTCAAATCTCCTTGTACCTATTACAAAGAAACATAAATGATTACAATCTAATAATAAACTATAAAACTTCTTGACGCACCATTTGTCTAACGTAGGAGTTCTGTACAAATTTTGGTTCCAACGATGGTAATGGAAAATGCCTGTATGATCCCCAAACGTTACCGGAACGTATAACATTGATGGGTAGGTCCAACTGTAGCTGCTTTGTGTACAATGGTTCTTGCAAAGAAAATGTAGGCGCTTTGTCATCTTGAATAAATACGCTTCTAATTATTTCGCCGCCTGGTTCTTTTCGCAAACAATTAATAAAACCGTTTAGCCCGCATTCGAAGTCTTCTTCCGAGACGAGAATTATCTCCGTATCTACACCAGTCTCGTTTTGCACATTGAACATGATTGATTTCAGTTCATCTACCCATGAAAATTCGTAATTGTTCACATGTACAATCCGCTGGTTTCTCGCAACATTTCGCGTTTTTCTTAATAACAAAAGCTTCTTGTAATTTATTTGTTTTTCCAGTATGATATCCAACTCATACGTTTTCAGGCATGAATAATCGTAAACCGCACCGGATTCCTCCAAAGTTAGTAGAAACCCTGTGGCATTACCAGAGACAGCAACTGTTTATATAATTTTTTGCTATTTTATGTCAAAATATTGAAACCAAGGACTATCAAACAATTCTCGTCTTTCGACAACTTAATAATTTCCGTTGTAGAAACGTTGTCGGGCAAAGGAATATTTGAGAATTTCTCGCGGGTCATCACGAGTTTAGTGTGATGTCGAATCTGCGGTAAATCATTTAAGATTTTACTAATAAGTGGAGAATTTAAATCTTCTGGTACCACTTTGTCACTATCATCGACAAATTCGATAATTTTAACATTTATCATGTTGCAACATTCGAGTGCAATGTGCGTCGACATTCTTATTGCATCTTGCAACGACATAGTACCTAAATCACGATGAGCAACAAATTTGTATTCTTCAAGAACGGTATTAACTACTTTTTGTCGGCGAGATATAGGTGTAGCCACAGTGCCACAAATTTCTATTCCTCCAGATATTATAGCGTCTAAAGACTTGTAACGACGAACAAAGAATTCTGCAATGTAGCGAATAAAATTTATTTGTCAGGCAATTGACGACATTGTATCACTTATTTTACTTACGTCTATCTTCAATTGGATAATCCTGAATTATCTGTATGTGATATTTTGGATCGATAGTCAGTTTGCGAATTCTTGTTGGAACATAAAGGCTTCTTGAATTCTGTCCTAAAATCATCATCTGTAACATACTATCCATAAATGCCACCCAATTAGATGTCCATGCGATATGGCCGTTTGATCCCGTAACCGATGCGTTTTTCAATCCACGAAATACACCGGTATATTGATAACCGCGAAGTTTTAATTCCTTATAGATGTCTTTTGTATTCATTTCTTCCTCATCATCGATATATTCGGCAAGATTAGCTGATATTTTTTCATTTTCAATATTGGTTGGAATTCGTACTGTTCCAGTAACAATAGCATTATCTCCTTCCATTATTTCAAACCTATTGCTACCTAGATATAGGTGTAAATTCATTAAACGTAACATAATTTTATAAGAAATCAAATTTAATATAGGGTAGACCGGGGACAAAAGTAACATTTTGAGTTTAAGATTTTATAACAGTTAAAATATAATATCTACGTAAAAAAGACCTGTACCTTTAGATGTAGAATTTATTTGACTACAAAATTTTCTTGTGCTGAATTCAGTAATGTAACTAGAAAAAAAGTTATTATTGTTTAAAAAATATGAGGAATACTGTTACAACCGTCCCAACCCCCGGGACAATTGTAACAGCAGAGGGGAACGATTGTACCACATCATCTATAAACAAAATAATGGTTATTTAGTAGGTTTATGTAATCAATCTTACGAATTTTCTATAAAAAAATGTAACTTTAATGATAAAATAATTTATTACGTGACAATATCAGTATTTTTACATTATAGCAAACAAAAACAAATAATACTGTTTTCTCAACTGAAAGATTATTTATTATCATATATATTTAAAGGGTTAGGTTAAGTTGAAGTTGTCCCCGAGCAACGGGGACAATTGTAACGCTACAATAACTGTCCCCAGGCATTAATGTTACAATTGTCCCCTAATGATATTTTATGATTTCAAGTAAATTTTTTACATAAATATCTGGATGAAAGTCAATCGTATTATGCAAATCATCAACATAAATAATCACTAAAACATATAAAAATAAAATCTTATACCTTCGGCATAAAGAAAGAAAAATATTTCAGATTTTATGCACGTAAGAAAACTTACTTCAGGAAAGAAAAAAGTAACTTCTTCTCCTGCACACGTGCACGTTCCGCGAGGGGCGGCAATGAACTAAGGAACAAATGCCGCTCTATCTAGCGGATCTCGCCTCGCGGTCATACACACGTACCTTTTATAATTTAAGAAATATTCACGATGTTACAACTGTACCCTGTTACTTTTGTCCCCGGTCTACCCTAAATATGTCAATATGGAGCTGGACCTTACAAAAGCAGTTGACTTGTGAAAAGAAAAAAGATCCCGCGTTAAGATTAGTTATTCTCATATATTTTCTCTGTATATTTTTTACATTTTAATTATAGTATATATTGCGCCATAAAAACGGCATATAAGCTTTAACCCTAGAACGCATGAGAGGGGTCGATTTCGACCCCAGGAGAACTTTGAAAAACGCTCCTGAGCTAGCGAGTGACATTATTGTCGAGTCTTTAAATGGATTTTTCACTAACTAAACTTGAGTAAAATTAAATTTACCGCATACCATTCTCTTCGTTATTAAAAAACGAAGAAATTCATGTAGGTTTAAAGGCCCTTTATTTCTGTAGGACCGGTTTTACGATCAAATAAAGCGTGGGGTCGATATTGCCCCCAGTCATGCGTTAGAAGGTCAAAAAAATGATACATGCGTTCTAGGGTTAAAATCTAATTAAAAAATAAAAAACTCACGCTAGAAAATTAACTGTTTACGTAATAATATTACCTTCTTGGATCGAGAAAGTTAATTCGATCTCATTTTGTTGTGATAGCACTGTAGCACGAATAAAATTAACGTCTTCAAATACAACTGGTGTATCGATATATTCTTTCTTTTTTAACATTGCAATCATCTCCCAGATATAAAAAAGATATCCCATAGCAGGAAATAAATTTTTTTCATTAACGACATGACTCATTAAATACGCACATTCATCATCATTTGTAGTAAAACTGACAACGTTTTCCTTTTTATCAATTATTTCATTTCGACGAAAATGTGCTACAAAGAAGTTCTCTGAATGATCCCATCTGCAAACGTCATTAGAAATTATTATATAATTTTCGTGTAAACGAATTAATTGTAGAAATTACTCAATTCAAGATTTGATCTAAAATTGAAACTCAGATTCTAAAATATCACTGTTATCTACTCTATGTAATAGGCATAAAAAGATTAACATGTGTATAAGAATACATTTATCTTTGAGATAAGCAAGGTGATGGAATGTTTTCAAAATACAAAGATGTGATTTCGAAATTAAATGATAAAACTAACCAAGTTTGAAAAAGAGTTTAAAGTTCTAATTCGCTATTATATTGAACATATTCTCTTCTAACTATTTTACCTAAATATTTCAAAACTTATAAAAGTGTTTTGTTTTTTGATAATTTACTTTATGAGAGGAGAAATCATTGGGGTACCGCGGCTTACAGGAAATTCCACTGTCGGATAGAGTTTTGCAATCTGTGGCTGCAATCCTGCGTTATAAAGTTTTTCGATTGATTCCAAAAATATCTCATTATTATGATCCTTGGTTCGTTCATATAGCGCTACGTTTGTTACTGTAGAGTATAAATAATTGTTCAAAATGTGTTGGAGAATATTCTGAGGAGATATTTCAATCGTCACTGTATCTTTTGAAACTGAACGTATCGCTTTTGCGAATAACACCGGAGACAAGATGTAATTTGTATAATATTTTGAACATAAAGGTGTAGTATTGGAGTATTCGTGAGAGGATGTTGTCAGCCACTTTGAGCTGTGAAACTTTTTTTGTGGTAATGCTCGGTTCAAGTATTCTTCAGACTTAGCTACAGCAGGTTTGATGTAACGACTATGAAAAGGTATATAACCACAAAAAATTTCTTTTATAGATATACTGTTCGCCTAAAAAAATGAATAAAATCATAAGTATTATTAATTGCTTGTTTTAACAAAACAATTAAAAAAACTAGATAAAAGAAAAATTATATTGTTTATAACCATTAATATATACCTGCAATTTGGTGAGAAATGTTTTTATAGAATTTGTTGGTCCGCTTACAATAAAATTAGAAGAACTATTGTAACAAGCTATATCAATATCCGAAGGACACATAACTTTTAAGGTTTCAAGATTGAGATTAATTTCAGCCATGGAGCCATTAATTATTTTCGACTCGTGAAGGGCTAAACCGATGAAATATGCCGACAGAATCGTTTCTTCGGCCGTTAAACATCCATCAGCATATCCACAGGTTAGTTCACCAATGGAGTGACCGATTATAAAATCAAGGACTACACCAATAGATGTTAAAAAATCAACTAACCCAATCTGCGATACATATAAAAGAAATAGCTTCCCATTTGGTTTAAGTAAAGATTATAATTGTGAAGTAATTATACAGTAATATTTTTTTAATTATCTTTATAATATATGGCATATAAAATATATATATATATATATATATATATATATATAAAATGAAAATTTTTAATTTAAGAAATAATTAAGAAAGAGAGATGTCAAGCGGATTCTAAATTACGATTTTTGAACATAAAAGTGGCTATAACTCGAAAACGGCACATTTCCGGACCTATGTTTGTATGAACTTTTTTGCTTGTTTTTGGGTCCCGAATCACCTCCCAAAGTGGAGTAGGCGATTTTTCGGACACCCTGTATATATATATATGTAAAGAAAAGTACTTTCTTCATTTGAATTCGCCGCGCTACAGTAGTTGGTAGTAGGCCGAAGTCGGTAACACTGAACAAAAGAGATAGATAGAGAAAGAGATAGAAAATGATAAGCACGTGTGCGTATCTTGCAAAATCATTGAGATAGAAAGATTGTTAAAATAAAGAGTAATTAGAGGTGTAACGGAGAAAGAAACTTTAATTGTCGTTTCTTTTGTTACAGGTAAGATTGTAATGTACATAAATTGTTAAAACATAGTAAATAAAATTTAAATCTCTTGTTACAAAGCAACACATTGGTTTTTTTCTTGGAAAATTCTTAATAATAGAAATCCATCTTACATATATATATATATATATATTGTATATATATATAGTATAATTTATGAAGGCCAAACAAAAAGTTTTTTTTCTTACCTGTAGTCCAATAAGACCCAATAAAAAATTAAAGATATTATCAAAAATATTTTTATTATCACTTGTTAAAATATCTGTAAGTGATATGCCGTAAGATCTCAAAACGATACCACATTTCTGGATTGCCTTGGCAAATACTGGGAATTTCATTAGAGCGCGACCTATTAAAATTTTAATAAAGTTTCTAAATTTCAATATACAGATATGTACATGCATCTGCGTATTTAGATAATAATTAGATTTTTTTAGTTATTGGTAAGGGTACGTAAGAAACTCTAGCCTCTTCCCATATTGTAATATTTGTTCTAGGATAAAATTTAATTTTACTTGTTAACTGTAATAAATTAAGTTCTTAATAAATAGTAAGCAATAAATCAAACTTTTATTATATTATTGGGACATTCCATGTCAACCGGAACATCGCCACGCCCAAAATTTGTGACAAATTAAAAATATTTTCCAGGGTGCAAAATTTATGTAAACATATTAGCTTTCGAATACCGAGTGCGCATTTAAAAAAATTCAACATGGCGGACTTAACACTTCGATATTAATGAATTTTTATCTCGAAAAAGATGCGTTATATCGAAAAATCGCAAGAGGGCATTTATACTTCAAATTTAACGCAGAATATGACCGTATTTTTTTAAATTACAAATTTGAAGTTTCGATTTTTTGTCCGCCATATATGGGTTCGCCATTTTGAATTTTTTTAAATTCAATATACCTAACGTAAAGTACACGAATAAACACACAATTTAGATGCAAAACAAAATTTTACTCTGTGGTTTTATAATTTTTTATTGTGTAACTCTTTTTATTCTAGGCGCTATATTGAGTCCGCCATTTTGAATTTGTTCAAATGCGCACTCGGTATTCGAAAGCTAATATGTTTACGTAAATTGCACCTAGGAAAAAATTTTTAAACCCTCACAAATTTTGGGCGTGGCAGTGTTCCGGTTGACATGGAATGTCCCTATTATATGTTTGATAACATCCTAGATAAGAATATGTTATGATCATAATTGTAACACTCTACATTTGTATGTACGTTCTGTATACTTATATGTCCTATAACTTAAAATATCTTCTTTGTTGAATGTTCATTTAAAATACTTTATAATAATATATTTACTTACTTATCCCAAACCATTGAGATCCTAATCCAGAAAATATAAAACAAATCGGTCTTCTGATATATGGAGTATGTTCTATTTTATTAATTGTATTATGAGATATTTTAGACCCAGTTATCATGTATCCTCTATAAGGATGACCTTCTATATCATTATTATGAATATGATGTAGCAGAGATATAAACTCAGTATCTATTGGTCGATTTTGCACCTGCATTTAGTAACAAGAATGTACATCCTATAATTTTCTTGGAATAACTTTACACAAAAAAGGACGATAATATCTTATGCTGCAGTGATTTACTTTAGCAATTATTAAATGCATTATTATTACTTAATATATTAAATAAACATGTATGTAATACATTGACTTTTCTTTTTTGTGCAAATTCGAAATAATTTCGAAAGCGATTATGTACGCAAATATCTTCTTAGACACTATATAAATAAACGTGTGTAGGGGAGATCGGGGCAAATTCGACACTTTGCCTGATCGATACAACTTGATCTGAAACTTATTTTTTTATTGTCTAAAACTAAAAATACATTGTTTATCGTGTATTTAGAAAGTACAAAAATTCGGAATTAAGTATAAACATTCATTGGAAATAATGAGAACAAAAATTGTTAAACTTTTAATTATTCTCATTTAAACTCATGTCTGTGAGACAATTTATGCAAATAAATTCGCGATCGGATGTGCACACACATTTGTCATAAGCCATATATGACTGCATGACAAGCATCGTTTGTTATTGAAAGCCGATGAAACGGCGTGGTGTCGACTTTGCGCCGAATGTCGTTTTTCACTTTTGTCACTCCAAAAACATAAAAATTTTAAAAATATGCCAACACTATTACCGGATTCGTATAGAGCATCAAATTTCCCATCAAAATTACATACATATAAGTTCGCAAGAATAAAGCTCGATGAAAGAGTAGAAATTTTTGAGAGATTAGAAAAATTACTTTTCACCATCAAAAGCGTTTATGTCGCGCTAAAAATTACACCATAACTCAGAATGTCACCAAATTCCATTGATACTGGCACATAAAGACGCATTTACAGTTGGAAAGGCAAGTTTCTGCGATAGATTTAAATTGACAAAAAGTCTAGTGTCAAGTTTGCCTCGATGTCGAGTTTACCCCGGTTTCCCTTATATTTAATTGTTATGTTTGTCATATTTATATAATAATACAAAAAACTAATGTTAAAAATTATTTCTGAAATAAATAAAATAAGCCATTATAATACTTGCTTACATCATCTAAGATGATTTTAACTGCTTCCTCTGTACGACCAGCTACAGCTACAAGCCTAGGTAAGTCATCATTCGAAGCTCCATTATTGATTTTTTGTTTAGGATTTGATTTTAATAATATGTGGCCATTAGCCCCTCCAAACCCAAAAGAATTGATAGCTACATAACCACCCTCCCATTCTGTTGGTTCAGTGACGATCTTTATTCTTCCTTCGATAATAGCAGTTAACTCTTTTCGCGGACGCTTGAAGTGTATAGTAGGCGTAATTATACCAGTTTCCATCGCTAATAATACCTTTAAGAAATCACACTTTTTTATTAGCAGTTGTTTAAAGTACAAGTTCGCGCAGAAGCCTGATCTCGCGATTTAGATAAGGAAGCTACACAAACAACTATTCATGTGAACTGTACTGAGATTACATATTCGTTACCGATTTACAATTCAACGCTCAGCTGTTTATCAATCAAAAGATATGCATGTTTATAAAAAGAAACGTCATACAGAAATTAAAGCTGTATAAAATACAAGGAAAAAAGAAATGATTAGTCATGTGGAGTGATCCTTTTTCTGATTCTTATAGAATTGTCCTTTTCTTTAATACTCTAAAGAAAGAAATAAATCTCTTATTTTTAATCGATTAATATTCATCTAAGAATACTGAATATCGTATGTTATTTTATGTTGGACTTATTAACGTTGTCATTATATCATCACATATCTGTATCTCAAAGAAAGGATCGACTATATTCAATTCACAAAATAATGCATAACATTCATTAATATCAAGAAATAATTGTAATTGAGTTAATGCGTCAATGTTCCTTTGATCTTAAATGATCTATAGCAAAATATAGCTTGTTTTGTTTTCAAGTGCTTA